AACTTGAAAAGAATAATAAATTAGAACATATTTAGAGAATAAGATAAGCTGCTTGATTTGCATTGTAGTGGCATAAAGCAATATGTTAATATGAAATTAAGCGTCCTAATGTACTGTAATATACAGTGTAACACACAAATACACCAAGTGCTGTAAAATTATCTTTAATGCAGAGAGGATTACACACTAAAAGTCTTTATATGTATAAAAATGTATAAATAGACTTAAATGGCAGTTGGTAGTTGAATGACAAATAAAAGTCTGCATCTAAGATTTGAGATTTGGCCATATCATATGCATCCAGTTTCTATATATGTATAGCTGATGATAACTCTGAATGTACTTATATGAAATCGTAAATTTATAAATGATGAACTTGCTAAAAATGTATGCCAATCTCAATATTTACAACATGTTTTGTAGAATGGCAACTGCATTTTTATATGAGTTTCATCATGTTAGTTTGGCAAAAGAAAGGCCAACTTATACTTAACACCTGTCAGATAGGGTGAAATTCCGGTTCCCAGTGGATGACAGGAAATTCATCACTAGGTGGTGCTCGCGAACCGCTGTACTTTGGCTATACATTCAACATTTGCAACTTACCTTATTAGTAGCAGAAAGTATATTTTATTAAAAAGTATCGCTGTTGGCTAATAGTAATACAGGATGGTATATTGTTGCATACCATAAAAAGTTTTCTTCCTTTTAACAAATTTTTTAGTATTGTATTTAAGTAATTATTCGCAACATATAGCTGATGGAAATGCTATACATAATACAGAGCATTTCCATCAGTTACATGTAATACAGATTTAATATAAATACATATTACAAATGCATTCTACAAAATTTCTTAAACAAAAGCCATCACTACGAAAAATTTTAAAGTTTTAAAATTCTTTTGATATGCTTTTCCCCCATCAATTTTACATAAACAAGCTTCTAAATATGTTGTGCTTGTGTATTTAGCTTAGCTTCTCATCTTAGAGTTATTGTAGTGTGCTGTCAAAAATTTGTTTATTAACTGCAAATTTCTTTAATCAAGTATTAGAAAAACTTGTTTTTGCGCAATAACTACAAAATAAGATGATAATAATTTATTTACCATAGAAGTATTAATTATGTTATCTCCTAATACAGTCAAAAGTCGTTAATCCGGACTCGTCGGGACTTCGGCGATTCCGGATTATCGATTTTTCCGGATTATAGATCATCAGTTTAAATCTGGTAAGATGGCATGCAGAAAAGAAATAAAATTATAAAATTAAAAATATGAAACCGTAATTTCATGAAATAAAGAACAATTATGATCTAAAGGGTATCAAAATTTACAAAAAAAAAAAAAAAAAAAAAAGCTTAATATTTATTTGTTTCCTTTATTAAACATTTCTTTCAATGTAAGTTGTTTAAGTTGCTTCGTTTTTTATGTGATAATACTTTCTCTTTAATTCTAGAAACAGACATAATTTCTTGTTTAGTTACAAAGTTCCGCTGTTCAAGTCCTATAATTGCTGTGTCGAGAATACCGACTAATTTGTCAATCGAAATTTTTTCGTTTTCAATAACCTCTGAGTCACTTTCTTCACTATCGGAAGCGAATTATAATGACGAGGAACTTGATTTAAATCATATCAAAGACAGAGTACATCGAGATCAAATACTACATTTAGTAAGGAATTATAAGCTAAATAAAATAAAAACATCTGCCCTGAAGATAAGGATAGTGCTGACAGATCAACTTCCAATTCACTGCGCGCCGCGGCGTGAAACTGAGAAACAGATTTCGGATTTCAAAACATACTTTCGCTTTGTAGATCTTTTACATATTAGTAAATATATATCGGAAATTCTATTTGACATAATCGAAAGTTCAAGCTTACTTTTATAAAATTGCTCTAACAGTCTGCAAAAAGTAATAAGCCGGATCCAATTCGAAGATTAAGGAACAACGCAATCTGCAACATTAACTGAATTAGATAATTTTAGCTTAGCTTATACTGTCCGTTACACATTAAACGCGCATGCGCACAATCATATTCGCAGCCGTAAAGGTCTTACGCGCACTCGTAAACCACTTTGCGCATGCGTGAACGCGACGCATGCGCAGAAGGTTTGTAGCTTTGAGGTCCGGATATTATAGATCATTCCGGATTATGGGTATCCGAATTAACGACCTTTGACTGTATAAAATCAGTAGAATGCACATATGTTTACATAAATAAAGCCACTCCGTTACTCGGCTCTGTGAGCTAAGTATTTTATTCTTGTATGTTGGTAAATTGTGTGTTTTTTGCTTTAATAATGATTGATTTACGTTGTTCTTATCTTCCAAATAAGGTTTTTATGCCTTTATTTAATTTGCATGCATTAGTTGTAGAATTATCAACAATTTTAATGTTATATAAGTGCGAATAAGCCTAATTTTTTTACTATAGCAGGCATATTTGTTTACATTTGAAATTTACCAGAATAGTGAATTAAGTCTGTTTCTGCACATTCAGTGTCTTTTTTGCCAAATGGAACCAAAAGTAGGCTTTCAGTTTTGCGCATTGAAAAATCTGCCTTCTTGCTCACTGGCGAAATTGCTTTTTTCACACAGAAACTAATTTTAATTGTATACTTTTTTAAAAAATTGTTTTAACTTTATATGGTGTTTTACATTTTTCAATTTTTAATGAAGGTATTTTGAGGTTTAATGTATTTTTGCCTTGCTGTGAAATGAGAACTGAATTGATTTAATGAGAAATATATCTAATGAAATTCGAGGACATAGGTTTAAATGAAATGCAGCAAAAAGTGCGTATATTTCTGTACAGGAAGTCATGTCGTGTATACATTAGATTTTTTAAAAAACAGATTGTAAATTGGATTTTAAATGGATTCAGAGGAGAATTTTTGTGATGTCTGTACATATGTATCTCACGCAACTTAAAAACGAGTAGCCATAGAAAGTTTAAATTTGTATATGTTTAAATTTGTATATGCTGTAAAATATTTTTGCATCTCCCTTTTTGGTTTTCATCGGCCCCACCAAGCGTTTGTATGTATATATGCATATTCCCACTCTGTTGCGATTGTAAACTGAGCTTGGTGAGCTCAGTTTTTATTCTTGTATGTTGATAAATTGTGCATTTTTTTGCTTTCAAAGTGATTGAATGATGTTCTTCTTCTGTTCCGGTTAAGGCTTTTATGCCGTTAGTTAATCTGCATGCAATAGTTGTAAAATTATCAAAAATTAAAAAGTTTAAGTCGTGCGAACCCTAATAAGATCGACATTTGGTTACATTTTAAACTCCTTAGTAGAATAGTGAGTTAAATCAGTTTGTACGCCAACTTTAGTATCTCTTTGTCGAATTGGACGAAAAATACACTTTCAGTTTTGTGCACCGGAAAATCTGTCTTCCTGCCCGCTGGACGAATGGCTTGGTATTACGTAGTAACTCTAATTTTAATTTTAAAAACTGTTTTTAACTGCATTTGGTGTTTTAGGTTTTTCTGTATTTTACAATTTTTAGTGTAGATGCTTTGAGTATTTATGTATTTTGGCCTTGGCACGAAGTGAGAACTGAATTAATTGAATGAGAATATATTTCTGATGAAATTCGAGGAAATAAGTTTAAATGAAATTTAACAAAAAATTTGCATAATTTAATTTGCCTTACAAGGAAGTTACGTTGTGTCCACGTCAGATATTTTTACCATATGCAGCCATATTTGTGTACATTTGAAACTTTGCAGAACAGTGAATTAAGTCAGTGTCTGCACCTTCAGTGTCTATTAGTAGTAGTATTGTGCACTAAAAAATCTGTCTTCTTGCTCGCTGATCGAATTGCTTGTTTCTGCGTAGAAACTCCAATTTTAATTGTAAATATTGTTTTTTAATTGTTTCAACTGTATTTAGTGTTTTATATTTTTACATAATGAAATGCATGAAAAAATACGTATCATGTAATACTCCGTACAATGAAGTCATATGTTGTGTACATTAGATTTCGTTTTCTTATGTGTTAATAAATTGTGCATTTTTTGCTTTAAAAAATGATTCAATTATGTTGTTCTTAGCTTCCGGTTAAGGTTTTTATGCCTTTAGTTAATTTGCATACAATAGTTGTATAATTATGAACAATTAAAAAATTTTTTAAGTGCGGCTAAGCCTATTTTTACTATAGCAGCCGTATTTGTTTACATTTGAAACTTACATTTTGCATATAGGACTGCTATAACATGTAGCTGAGCACTCCCTTTTAGGTTCCAATCGACAGTACCAAAATTATATAAATATGTATATATACATATATGCCCGCTCTGTTACTCGGCTCAGTCAGCAGAGTTTTTTTTATTCTTATATGTTGGTAAATTGTCCACTTTTTGCTTTGCAAAAGACTGAATTATGTTGTTCTTATCTGTGGGTTAAGGTTTTTATATCTTTAGTTAATCTGCATGCAATAGTTATAGAATTATCAACAATTTAAAAGTTGTTTCAGTGCGACTAAGCCTAACTGAATAGCCATTTGTTTGCATTTGAAACTTAGCAGAATAGTAAATTAAGTCAGTTTCTGCACCTTCAGTGTCTTTTCACCGAGTGGGACCAAAATTAAACTTTCAGTTTTGTGCACTGAAAAAAATGTGCCTTCCTGCCCGCTGGTCGAATTGCTTGTTTTTAAGCATAAACTCTAATTTTAATTGCAAAAATGTTTTTTTAACTGTTTTAACTGCACTTGGTGTTTTGTATTTTTCTATATTTTTCAATTTTTAATAAAGGTATTTTGAGGTTTCACACAATTTTGCCCCGTCGCGAAGGTGGACCTGAATTAATTGAATGAGAAATATATCTCCCATGATATTCGAACAAATACATTTAAATGAAATCCAGGAAAAAATGCGCATAATTTAATATTCCGTTCAAGGGAGATAAAAGGTAGATAAAATTGTGCTGTGTCAGGAATAGTGCCGCGGCTATATATCTATAGATAAATAAATACTGAGATATTTTAATATCAGCATTTTATTTAAATCAAAGAAATTACTCACAATGTAGAATTGTTCAAAACATTTAATAGTAGTTTAATTGTATGAATCGTACGAGCAAGTGATTAGTAATGTTTTCAATAGCTTGAGTTGTCTCGCTACAAAATTCGGCATTTCTCTTCCGGATTCATTGGTGCATTCAAAGGGCAATTAAAATCCCTGGAAAACTGAAGTGAATTTGACATTGCTCCTATGACCCTGAAACGGAGGATGCACTTTAAAAACGTTTGCATAGACGATGATTCCAAGTGTTTAAAAATTTTGTTCAAAACATCTAAAATTTGTTTGGGAACCAATTAGTCAACAATCCGTGCATTAGATATTGGAAATGAAACACCGAGCTTGAATATGATTAAATCACATATGTAATATTTCTCATTAAAATATTGATTTGTGTAAATGAAAAGCTGACGACGGCGTTCAAGTCTCCCTTAACAGGACACGGCGGGAGTAGTTGTGCTCCCTCAAGTTTGGGAAGGATCGGATTTCCGGAACCGACCAGTTTATGGGAGGAGTCTCGGGGTTTGTTCTGGATCTCCTGGAGAGAGTGAGTATAACTACGAGGCAATGACGCGCATAGCATAGTCTGTCCTAATCCCCTCTCCTGTTCCAATCCGTCATTGGCCTCCTCGTGGTCAAGCTGGTAACCAAGTTCGCCTGGGCTAACTATGTTCGGATAACCATCTTTGGGGGTCGTCGGAGATTGGCAACGCTTGAAGCGGGGATTCCCGACCTGAGGACTATTACCAATCGGGATTTATGCCACCCCGCCCACTAAACAATCTACCATGTGACGACCCCACAGAGCAAGGGCAGACAAAGGCAGTACCAGTACGGTCCCTGCCGAGCCTTACCCTGTTCCGAGATCCCTCAGGCCTTCTGTGAAGAGTGATTATATACCCCTGTGGTTGAGACTGCCTAGGTACAGATCCTAACCAGTACTTCCCGGGCATTTGCCTGAGTCAACCCCGGACGGAACTGAGACTAGCAGTCTTAGGTAGATCAATATCTAGACAGCCTTGACGTTTCGGGGGTAAAACGACTGTCCTCACAGGACTAGAGCCACCGTTTATTAGGTGGTAGGTTCAGGCTCGGCAGAGGCCGTACTGGTAGTGTCTTGTTGTCTACCCCTTGGTTGTGGGGATGTTATATTTTCAGATATCGCAGGTTGTCTTTGGGGATTGGCGTCCCTTGTCAACTCCGGTAAGATAAGAGAAGGGCTTCCTCGTTCCGAGAGTCTTAACAGCACTACGAGTTCCTTCGCCCCTTAGAACCAGGCACAACCTCCGCTCTCGCACCTTGAAAAGAAGAACGCATCGCATAAAGCGACACTGGTCGTCAATTTGCTACCTGCCAATCGCTTGGGCTGTCCGTCGCAGTGGGACATTACCCAGCGAACCGGAGGGCACTACCCCCGGACTACTAGAGCCACCCCGCTCTAGGACTCCCCAGACCACCGGGCCGGCCAATGAGTGACCTTTCCAGGGCCTCCAGATCCACTAGGTTCATAAATGTTTTACCACCGCGGACGACACTGCCTAGGTACAGATTCCAGCCAATAGCTTCGCAGAGTTCTCTACGTCGACCCCGGGGGCGCAACACCGGTAAATCTGACTGTTTTATAAGCATTGTAATTGCTTTCCCAGACTGTGTGATATTTTATGTAACCCTGAGTTGACCAAGGGAAGTTGCGCCTCTTTGAGGAGGTTGAGGCATTTTTAAACGTGTATGACCGCCTAGAGAGGATGGATCTGAGAGCCTCTTCCTCTTGTTCACTGTCCCTTAACAGGATATGGAATAGCTATTAATTTTTTAAACTTAGCTTGATCTTTTTGGATATTACGGGAGAGAAACAGATTGATGATATCAAACAGCGAGCATTGATTCGAGTCCAGTTTGGATGCACATGAATTTGTGGAAGGCACTGCGTAAAAATTGTGTTTTATCTGTGCCATTCTTCCTAGATCCGTCTCCTTTTCTCGCAACTGCTCCACGAACTCAGGCGTACCATTCAAATTTGTAGAGAAAATTCGTTTTGCTTAAAGGTAGTTTTTCGCGAAAAGCTGTTTTCTTAATATACGGCGAGGATCTAGCTAGAAGTGTTGCTCCGCCTTATTTTTGTTGCGCCCGGTTGAAGAAAACCACATACTGCTAAGTTACTGAAGTATTTTATAGTTGAAATAAATGATTTATCTAGTATACTATGAAACATGCGTATCAGAGCCTAGCTAAGGTTTTCAGCGCCTGGGAACAATTGAAGATTTTGCGCCCCTTTCTGTGCGCCAAGAATGGAAAACATTTCATTCTAAACTTTCATAACATCAGTTTGGCCCCCCACTGAATGCTGCGTCTGGGGACAGTTGCCTCCTCTTGCCCCATCCTAGCTACGCCCCTGGTGCGTTTGATCCGATTATAGGCGAACCAATACAACACACCGCGCTCTTGTAATTGGTTGCCGCCCACTGTGTGACTTTGTTTTCTTTTTCGTAGCATCTGTCAATATAAAACCATTATTTAAATATGAAATGCATAGCTATTTTTGTGGAAGAGATTTACAGCGCTTTCGTCGCTTTTTCAGTTGATTTAATTATGTATAGTTAGACCGTCTCAAACGCAACCTTGGCTGGCATTCTGCCAACAGTCCAAACTCCTCCAAAAGGGGCGTTATTACTTGCTGTGACGTGAAAAGTCACGTGAAAATGTTCTCCTTTTCGGTAGAGAGAATTTATATGCCGGAGGGAAAGTAAGTCCCAATTCTTCCACCCTATTTTGAGAATAATTTGGTCCGAATGGCCCATGCGTGTTTATGCTCATGGTCACGGATTAGGTGGTCGAATTATAGTGGCATACACATTTGCTTTCAAGAACCATTCCCGTGTTTCACTTACCTAAACTTCGGGGGCACATAGGGACCGAGAAACTGTTGCTTGAGGTATTCTTCCGTTTGTTTCTCACACATTACCTGAAACAGATTTAATGTCATGCATTTACTTTTTTGTGCTAATACACCGAGAAATCATTAAATAAAATTATAGCATTATCTATTGATCTTGCACGGCATCAGGCGTGAAAGAATTTTATGATTTTATAATATACTATATATTTATATAATAATATTTTATGATTTTATAATATAATTTATTTTATGATTTTTATGATTTTATGAAAGGAAGAAACTGTTTTAAACAATAAGCGTTTATTTATTATTGAAAACTTTAATCCATTCAACGCATGTATGATATTGCTGCATTTTATTCGTGAGTGTTTAAAATTAATGTTTTAAATTTCATTCTCGTTTCTTTCTTTTTGAAAACATTCCTCTTCAGTAAAAAATTAACTGCCATTATTTAAAACTTAGCGGCATTGTAAAGCTTTTAAAAATCTGATATCAAACGCTTGACGTGAACATATTGGATAGATATAAGCATATGAGAATATTTGAATTTAATTATTTTGACTATTACACTAATAGCTATTGAAATGCATAAGTAATGTAACATACTACTTTGTTTGAATATTAAAATTAAGATGAAACTATTGTTAATACTGAAATATTTTGAAATAAAAAAAGCAATTTATTGCTTGCAATCCTTTATTTTATCCTCCTCATTCTAATAAATTTCTACTAATTTTCAAATAAAAATTTGATAATGTTGGATTTTTTTAACATTTTATTAATTCAATTCAAGATGTTGACACATCTGTGTGCGCTGTAATATTTCCTGTTGAGAGCAAGATCAAAACATAAGCTAAAATATCAGTTCTAAAGATATGCTGTTTCTAAATATGTTATTCTGTTTTTCAAATTTTGTAAAGCTTTAACGAATTTTGGATCAACGAACTCAACAATTTCGAAGCAAGCAGTAGCAACACTATTAGAAAAAAAAAAAAAAAAAAAAAAAAAAAAAAAAAAAAAAAAAATTCTGTCTCCAGCGCGCAAGTCTGTCTCTCACAGATTCTAAAGATACGCTGTTTTTAAATATTTTTCCTAAACGGACGTTAGCTCAGATGCTCTCGATACATTTATATGTGTGTAAAGTAAGAAATGCCAGCGATTGGCGCTATGTAAAATCGGAAAGTTTTCAGATTTTTATTTCATTTATTCCTCTTTATATTTTATCCTCTTCATTCTAATATATAGACTCATAATCTGAGAAAATATATCTGTTTACCATCGTAACTTCTGTTTTTCTTGTATATCAACAGAAAATTTCTAGTAGATTTCAAATAAAATTTTGGTATTGATATTTCCTTTCACATTTTATTAACTCAATATAAGATCTTGTTGTTATTTCTGAGCGTGCTGTAATGTTGGCTATTATAAAGAATAAAACCTAAATATGACCTGAAATTCATGATACAGTTGCACCGGAAAAACTGAAGAATACATTTGCTTATCCACTGAAACGTGTTTTGATTTCTCTCCAATTTCAGAAGTCGAGAAAATGTATCAAAGAATTGTTCAGTATCTCAATGCCAAGAAAATTCGAGAAAAAAGGAAAAGTAAATTACCAATTTAATAAAAAGATCACAAAGCAGAAAAATATTTCGCAAGTAAACTTGGAAGTATCATTCTCTCGTATTTTAAGTTTGCCAAGTTTGCCATAATTTGTCTGACAGTATTTTGCAGAAATTGGTCTGAATAATAAATTACCACGTTTATTGTTTATTTCAGTATTCATCAAATAGGATACGATGATCCATTTTGGTATTAATTATAAGTGAATGAATACTGTTACCAAATGTACAGTACTGCAATATTCTCCAATATTCATGTTCGGGTAAAATAAATAACTTCTCCATATGTATCTTATTTTCTTGAGTGTGTCCGCCCCGCCCCCGTTTTTTAGTAAGTTTACAGCTTGAAAACTGAGAGGCAAAAGTATGAGGAGTATGCTGCTTCTAAAGCGATCGCTTGAACGATAAACATAAAACATTAAAAAGCAGACATTACGGCGCATTAATATTATTACATTATGCATTTCGAAAGATTTCTCAATTTCAATAACATGCTTTTTACCTATAAAAAATTATTTCCTGTTCGTTCGCACATTTTACGGAGAGAAAATCGGAAGTTCCTAAGTCGAAAAGTAAATCAGTAGTTTCTAAATTACGTGCTGAAAGAATTAGAGCCAAAATACCTGAGAGGACGATATAGGCAAAAAAAAAAAAAAAAAAAAAAAAAAAAAAAAAAAAATACGGCATTTACGAAACGACGATTGTGTGATAAAGATTAAATAAGTATTTAAAAAATATACGTCTGTTTTAAATTATTATAAAATCAATGCCGTTTAACACTTTCATTTATAAAATTCATTACCGAAATGAGTGATTTTTTTTAAAAATCAGTGCATGTGTTGGAACTGACGATCACTGGCTTTTAGACACTGCAAAAAACTCAATTCACTGCAAATATCAAAAATACCTTTTCCCGGTTTTTCCTTCAATCATTAATTTCTCTTGCGTGCATTCTTAGGTACTCCAGGATAGGTGGTACAGTTGCGGAAATTTATTCAGCCGTTTTATTTAAATATTACTTAATTGGTCCAAACAATATTTCTTGGAAACGATGCATCCTGTCCATATCTTCCCAAGTACCACCATACCATATTAAAATCGATCACCTTCATTGAAAAGAAGGAATTATTCTTGACACTTTGGACCCCCCCCCCCCGTAGAGAACTCTGAGATGTTACTGTCTAGGATCTGTATCTAAGCAGTCTCGGTCACGAAGGTATCCAAATCATGAACCTAGTGTATCTAAAGGACCCGGATGCTTAATGGCAAACCGCACATTGAGTTGATCAATGTTAAACGAATTTGCTTACTGCGCATGCCCAAAAGAGAATTTGGCGCAGTTAGACTCTGGCGCAATTTTAAACGAAGATAAATACGGTATATGGTTGATATTATGTTATCTTGGACGTAAACAGTTCGAGGTTTTAAAACGTGTCAGGTTGTAAGCTGCTTCATTACTTGGAATGTAAATGTCGATTGTAAACTACCCAAATTCTCTTTTAAAAAGGATTACAAAAAAGGAAACATTACAAGATATATTAGCTGATTATACTTCTGAGGAATAAAAACAATTGAGTACTTACCACACTTTCTATTCATATATACTTTAACAAATTAAGAATTAAATCTAGTTTAAATTACTGAACTAAAGGTCAAATAAATTATTGTAAGTAAATGAAATAGACTGTTGCAATTGTAAACAGTCGATAAGACCTACATGACGAACAGGTAACTTGTGTAAGGTTGCTTATGTTTAGTCGCCAGTATTTTCACCCACGCCAGCGGTACACCATTGAGCATGCGCAGTAAGCGAAATTTGGTAACATTAATCAACTCAATGTGCGGTTTGCCATTAAGCGATCCGGATAGATCACTTATTGATCAGCCTTTGGGTCTGGCACGTCTTAGAGCTCAAGGCTCTAGTAGCCTGGGCTGGCGTCCCGGGTTCTGCGCCTGGAGGTGGCGTTCCGGGTTTTCTGGGTAATGTTCTTGGGCGACGGGCAGGCCTTGTAACTGTTAGGTAGCATACTGATGACCAGCGAGGCCCTGGGGTGTATGTTACACCAGATGGGTTGGTGCCAATACCTCCAAGATTCGAGGACAAAGGTTAAACTCCCGGGCCTGGTTTGGCGGGGGACGCACACTCGTACTGCCCTTTAATGCGGTGGAACGAGGAATGCCATTGACATTTTGGAACTCCTATGTCCTGACCCGCTTGCTGCGCAACAGTTTTGAATCCCATGTGTGACTTTCCATGAATCCTTTTTGCTTGGTAGGGATTGTCAAACGTCCTCGACGTTCCTCATAATTTCTTGTGAATATTCAGATCCGTCCGATCTGCTTCAAATTTATCTCTAATTATGGTTTTGGTAAATTGCGCACACTGATGTACTCAAAACCCTGTATTAAAGTAGTATCTTTACATTTCAACTGCGTTTTTGAGCTTCTAGTAACACTTCAAGGTAAATTTTCCTCGTCCAAAGCTCAGCCTGGATATATCTATTACTTCAACACTGTTAAATATGAAAGAAGAAATAAATTTCAAGATTTTGAACATTCTGTCCCAAACACTTGTAGAGATATTAGGTATTTTGGAAGCAGGAAAGATGAAAAATATGCAACACCTTCGCCGGGAATCGAACCACGGACCTCTGGAATACTGCGCCCAGTATACAGACCACCACACTATGAAGGCACGCAAAGAAGGCGGGATAAATACCTTATATATAGTTCCCCTTTTAAAAGGCAATTGGGGTTTTTAGGAGACCCAATCGCCAAATTCTAGGTGGGGAGAACCATCATCCACCACCCTTTTAGTTCAGGCGCCACTGTAGAGACATTAGGTATTTTGGAAGCAGGAAAGAAGAATCGAACCACGGACTTTTGGAATACGCGCCCAGAGTGCAGACCACCACACCACGAAGGCTCGCAAAGAAGCGGGAGAAATACCGTATACACAGAATGCCACCTTTACTTAGAAGGTCTATTTTTCAAGAAATTTGGCCAGTTTTCGTCTTCGCGAAGAAATGATTTTTCAATTTTTAAAATATTTCTTGTAAATATCATAAACCAGTTCACAAAACACTATTCTATTAAGAGAATTTTTAGCCAGATAAATAGTTTTCAGGAGATTAAATTGTAAAGCCTTTTTTTTTTTCTTTTCTGGATCATACAAAGGTAGACTCTACTGAAAAGACTGAGTAGCGAATTCTCGCTGTCTTTGAAGAACAGGCACTGCAGAAGAAGGTTTAAATAATCTCTTTTATTTGAACTAAACGAAGGTTGCACTCGGTCGGAGCTCACAATTACCACCAATTGTGGCTAACTAACTCGAAGAGAAATTAAAAATGTGAAATCACAATAAGTAAGATGGGCTACGCGATTGGCTTTTTATTTGTCTAAAGTGCTAAATCAGGTGCCCACATCAAAGCCGAACCTAGAATATTAATATGAATATGATATAAAGAGAGGGAACAGCTTTAGAACCCAGAACTTTAACCAAATTTTAACGAAAAATTTTAACCAAAACCAGCACACCCAGAATTTTATCCAAAAAAATATCGCCAAGGATGGCGATAAATGATATGATGTGGCAACCCACACCCGTTTACGAGCATGTGGTAACCCATACTATTCAACAAACGCAATGTAAACAACCGTAAATTTCTGATTTCTAAAAAGGGTGGAATTACGGTTACAACTAACATAGAGAACAATTATTAAATTCTTGCACTATGTACTATAACATAGACCGAAAAAGGGAGATATAAAATTAAGAATGGGAATTCAACTATTTTCTCTTAATCTTCTTAAAGGTGCAGTCAGAAGAAAGGTGCAGATTTAAGAAGTCAGTGCAGTCTACTGATTCTTAGACTCTACTGAGTATTTTCTGAGCCTTTCTCATATACCTTCTTATTCTTGGGAGCACTGTGTTATTGGTTTTAAACCAACCTTATAAATTAAGACACAATAACACGCCGAATAAATACTAATTCAGAAGTCAAACAACAAAAATCAAACCGCAAATGTTGCGGTTTTGCAGTTGAAGATGATGGTTCGGTAAAACCATCGAAACTAGTCCTGTGAAAATTTTGTAAATTAACGCTGATTTTTGTTGTTTGACTTCTGAACAACCTTATAAAATTAAGAATGGTATTTTAGCTCTTTTTTCTTAATCGTTTTAAAGGTGCAGATTTGAGCAGTCTACTGATTCTTAAAGACTACCGATTATTTTCTGAGGCTTTCTCCTATACCTTGTTTTTTTTTAAAGCACCGTGTTGTTGGTTGCTTTTTAAACCATTCTTATAAAATTAATAATGGTAATTCAGCTCTTTTCTCTTAATCTTCTTAAAGATGCAGTCAGATGAAAGGTGCAGATTTGAGAAGTCAGTGCAGTCTACTGATTCTTAAAGACTACCGATTATTTTCTGAGCTTTCTCGTATACCTTGTTATTTTTGGAAGCATCGTGTTGTTGGTTGCGTTTTAAACCAACCTTATAAAATTAAGAATGGTAATTCAGCTCTTTTCTCTTAATCATTTTAAAGATGCAGTCAGAAGTAAGGTGCAGATTTGAGAAATCACTGCAGTCTACTGATTCTTAAGGACTGTACTGATTATTTTCTGAGGCTTTCTTATATACCTTGTTATTTTTGGAAGCACCGTGTTGTTGGTTGCTTTTTAAACCAACTTTATAAAATTAAGAATGGTAAGTCAGCTCTTTTCTCTTAATTTTCTTAAAGGTGCAGTCAGAAGAAAGGTGCAGATTTGAGAAGTAACTGCAGTCTACTGATTCTTAGAGCCTGTACTAATTATTTTCTGAGGCTTTCTCATATACCTTGTTATAATTTGAAGCACGGCGTTGTTGGTTGCGTTTGTATGAATAGTAACATTTCTATAACTTTAAGTACAGCAGGTATTAGAGTAAGTAGAAGGATGTTGATGAAATAATCGATGGTGGTAGACAACCCATTGCAAACGTAAGAAAAAGACGTCAATGTAAAATTTATAATTAGAGTAACTTTAGACTAGTGTATGTTTTAAAAGGTTGCTTTTTTTTTACCCGATTTTCAAAATCTTTCAGCTCATTCGTAAATGAATTCGACAGCAGACTAAAATTCCAACATGGAATCAGTTCTTAATTCATTTTATAAAACCTAAGCTGTATTTAATTTTCAATGTTATTTTACCTATGACCTACGTTCCAAAAGAAAATTGAAATATCCTCTCCTTTTTTCCGAGGTGCATGTGAAAGAGGATCAAATCTCTACACATAATAAAAGGAAGAGTTTGTGTGTCTTTCGTTCGAGCTGCGCGTAAGCCAATAGACCCAGGGCTACGAAATTTGGTACATAGGTGCATCTAGACAGGAGCTAGTGCACCTCGAAACGATTTTTTTTTTCAAAATTCGAATTACATTTTTTTAGTCCAAAGGGATTTGAATCCCGAAGGACTATTAGTTTCGTTTTGGCATTTTGCGTCGGACTCATAAATGTCGGTTCACTTTTCAAACTGTTGCCACAAAATGTTAGAGTCCTGCATTATATTTGAAGAAATTAAATAGTGAAAAATCTGCATAAATGTATGTATATTTCTCGTATTGTGATAAAACAACGGTACATAGAGTCATCGAATTTTGAATAACGTAATCCTCCAACGAATATGAGCATGTGGAAGACCAAATTTGAAATTTGAAATTTGTTTTATGATCGATTTCCTATTTTTTAAAACTTTGACGAATTTTTGATTAACAAACTCAAGGATTTCAAAGCGAGCAATGGCAACGTTGTACAGAAAAAACATTTTTATCTCCAGCGCGTGAGTCTCTGTATCGGAAATTTAAAGATATGCTCGTTTTAAAACTATTTTGCGATATTGCTGTTGCACTGAATCTTATGGTTTAAGTGCGAGGAACATGATATTTAATAAAGAAAGGTAACACACAAAATGTTAAAAAACGCCCCTTTGGACGTAATTTAAAATCTGAAACATTTCAGATTTTGGTTTTTTTTTCTTATTTTATGTTTTTTGATGAAATCGATTATTGTCTCTCATTATACCAGCAACAATGGCATAGAGCCATTGCTGCTGATATCAGTACTGTTGCCCTTCGGAAAAATGAGCGCTATAATTCTGTTCAGTTTTTACATTTAATGTTTCTCTTGGATAGTGGACGTTTGCCGAGAGGTACTTGGATACGACGTTTGTCCAGTTTGTCGAGAGGACGTTTGTTTTTCGGTACATTTAAAAGCCAGACGAAGGCCGGCCGCCTGGCGGCTAATATGTAATAAATATGAAAACAAATGTCATTGGCTTCAGAGTATCCAGACAAGTACAGTCCATATTCGCATACGGGAAAAGAACCATAACAAGTGATAATGTAAAACGGTCTCTAGGTGTTATGGAAAAAAAAATATTACACTTACATTTGCTGCACTTATCCAGAACAACTGATTCGGCGTATATTTTAACCAGGGATACATTTTATTTTTTGAATTTCTTATGTACTCCTTATATGCCTGTAAAGAATAATGAAGTAAATGCAACAGAAAAGTTATAATTAGAGAATGAAGTTAGATGTTGTTTTTACTAATACTCACTTGTCTGACCTATGGTCAGCAAAAGCCTACGAAAATCCTCATGGCAAGGAGCGGAAGTTTAAGCCTGCCGTTGTCGCTGTTGGCGTACCATCTATATACATTTGAATAGGCTTGAGCACATTACAGGTGACAGTGCGATTTAGTTCGGTTCCACCCCCAATTTTGATGGAGAGCACCCTGGGAGACGAGTCGGAGTGTCTCCCATCCTTCTTCCCCTACAAGCAACTTCTCGAGAGGACATTCAGCTTGCCGCATATTTAGAATGCCCCCATGCCGTACAGATACTATACACTTACAGACATCGGGATTGGAACCCGGGCAGTCAGCGACGCTAACCACTATACCGGTTGGGGTGTTAAATTTAGCTGCAACAGGTGAATATCAGCTGAAAACAGTATTCCTCTGCCGCCATCAAGAGATAAACTTCATGTCCATTTATACTGTTTTATTTAATAAACTTTGTTTATTCAAATTAATTTTCATATAAAAAATGATGATTAATTGAAAACTATCCATGATTTTTAAGGTAAAACCGCAAGGAGATACCCTCCAGTAATTGTTCATTTTAAAGGAAACTTAAAACATTTTGCAAAGAAAAATCGAGGAGATTTTAAAAAGGCCAGGACAAATACAAACTTTTAAATTCCTGAAAATAAACTTGTAGAGTTATTAGGCCTTTTTGAAGCAGGAAGCAAGAAAAATGTGCAATGTCCTCGCCGGAACTCGAACCTGGTACTCTCAAATATGTTCCGAGGGCGCTACCGTTACACCACGGAGATATGTAGAAAGGAAAATAGCTTATATACTGCCCTTTTAAAGGGCAATTGGGGATTAGGGGACCCAGTCGCCAAATCCTGGTGGTGAAGAATAATCATCCGCCATCTTTTCGTTCGCCGGGATTCGAACCTGGACCTATCGAATACGCGTGGTGTGTGCTAGCCGTTACACCACGAAGGCGTGCAGAAAGGAGGAAGAAAATACCTTATATGTGGCTGGCTCGCTGTTCTCCATTACTGTTTGAACCGTTGGCCCGTGCTATGACCTGATGGCTGAACTTGTTGGATGTTTCTGCCCGGGAAAGAAGGGAGGTTTCACCCCTTGCAAAAACAACAGCAACAATAATGTTATAAACTGCTTTTCCGACCAGAATGTAAGACTTGTGAGTAAATGACCATGGGCACTAATCATTGAAAGACAAGGCATGAGGGATAGTGCCTTTACGTCTTAATAAAACAGATCAATTTTAATTAGGTGTATTTTGAATCTACATAAAATTACTTTTTAGGACCTTTTTTGTGGACTCATAATAAATAATGAGAAGAATGCTAATTTTATAGGATGTTTATTTGATTAATTGGGATTTACCATCTATATGCAATTTGAGCTGGGGTTCCATTTTAAGAACTATGAGAATATAAAATACTATCGGGAAAAAATTTATCAGAAGAAATTATAAGAAACTGCAACACCACAATGGTCGGATTCGAGTTTGGAGACACCGTGGTGAGAGGATGCTGAACAGCTGCGTTATGCACCGCCACACTGGTCTTGCACCGGGTATTATGGTATGGGGCGGTATTGGATATCACTCTCGCACTCCTCTAATAAGCATTGCCGTTACTTTAAACAGCCAGAGCTACATCTCCGAGGTGTTGGAGCCAGTTGTGCTTCCTTACCTTCAGGGTCCATAGCCATATTTCAACAGGATAATGCGCCCCCCCCCCACACGTGGCACGCATTGCCCAAGGGTTCTTCGTCAATCGCCAGATTGAATTACTTCCCTAGCCGGCTCGCTCTCCGGATCTTTCGCCGATAGAAAACATGTGGTCCATGGTTGCTGAACAATTAACTCATATTACATCCCAAGCTGCCACACCAGATCAACTTTGGCAGCGTGTGGAAGCTGCTTGGTCTGTTGTATCCCAAGAACACATCCAAAGTCTCTTTGAATCAATGCCGAGGTGTGTGGCAGCGGTGCCGACAATGGGCGGCTACTCTGGCTACTGATTCTGGAAGAAACCACACTTCACAGAAGTTTATAAATTTAATAATTTGATACTTGGTCAACATGTTATCTACTAAATAAATTTTGTTGCGACATCGCTTATCTTTCTTGGTGTTGCAATTTGGGTAGCTAGCAGTGTTCTTGTCATGGGGAAAGTAAAACCATTCCAAGTGAAGTTCGTACATTGTCGAAGTTTGAGGAAAACATAGTTGGTCCTCTCTCGATGCGAAAGCGTTAAATACTGTTGAAAGGCTTTTATAACGTAAACAGTTAATGAGCTTTATAGCTATTTACAATACAGGTAAAAAGTCTGCGTGAGTTACATGGATATGTTTCGCTCAAACGGCTATAACATATTTTATGTATCACAATAAACAATTAGCAGAGTTACAGATACAAAAATTTTTAAAAATATATTAAGTAAGGCAACAAACACAATTACTCATGGTTAAATCAGACTACATGACATTAATTTAAAGATATTACTAGCTGATAACCGCCCGCTTTGCTGGGCATACTGTCTATTTGAATATGAACCTAGACTTCTTGTATGGACGAAATGTCTAATTTCGAACTGATAATTAATGTAAATTAAGTTTAAAGTCGGGAAATATAATGCCAGGCAGTGAATCTGTCATACACAGATTTCCACATCACCCATGAGGTACTGTGTATTGGGATGCGTCCCCATTGTTTAACATGGTGGTATCCCCAGTAGGCCTACAGCACGAAAAATTGCCAACATAAAACCAAGGATATATTTTGAGAATTTTTTAAATATTTCTTCATTTTTTTATTTATTAAATCAAAATTTTTAACAGTTATAATTATTTGTTCTTGATTTTTTATGCTTGATTTCGTCGATGAACCGCGAGCTTGGCGAGTAAAAATGCAACGGCGCCAACGGGTTCTCTGCGGATGAAACCCCATTTTTCATTCGGCTTTGGTTAAGAATATTTTTAAGAAATCTTTCACATACTTGTAATTAATCAATGTAAAAAACCGAAATTTGGAAATCTTAAGATTTATGGGTGAATTTTAGCCTTTAGTGTAGTGAGGTGAAAGAAATCTAAAATTAGATCTAAATACCATTATAGGGTTACACTTGATCTGATAATGCCGTTTTAATATGTAGCGTTCCTCATTCCTTTAGTCTAAGATGAACGTTGAGGAACCTAACGATTTATAGCTGAGTTCAAACAATTTAATATTTAAATATGTAGACTCAAGAAGGGTTAAACTACCCTTTATTTCACTCAAAAAAGAATAAGAAACGGCCCCTTTCTCGGGCTTACAACAAAGCCCCTACTCGGCCTTTAACTCAGAATAAGGAATAAGAAACGAAACTATAACTATCTAAGGGAGACTTAGCCGAAGCTAAGCACAAGTATATAATGAGTAGTTGCCCCTTAATTTAAACTAGCCGGCGAATATCAAAAGGTAAGTAATAATAATGCCAAGCGTAACAGCTTTAAGAGAGACGTAACCCGAAGGCAAACACGCGCTACTCAGGACTCTTAAGCCCCGTTCACAAAAGCAGATTCGACCGGTAGCGAAAACCGGTTCTTCCAATGTGTCCCGTCGTCACCATCGAGATAGATAAGGCCTGCGCTCTGAAACGAAACTGGCTTGTGACGTCACGGTTAAGAGACCCTCAGCAAGCTTTTTGTTGGCTTTTATAAGTTGTAATTTTTTATCCATTATGTTTTAAGAATTGAATTTATGTTTACTTTTGACATCTGAAGCATCATCTCTTGTAATAATTACTAACACTAGTAATATAAAAATTGTCAGCAAAATTTATGATTATTTATTTTAATTGGAAACTAATTTTATATGAAATAACTGTCCTAAGGGGTTAAAAGCATAACACTTATTTCATTACATAATATGTAGAATATCAAATGCAGAGTAAATTTGATTCTTGACAGAGTACTGTGTTCTTAAATTTAAATATCGATGTTTTTTGCAAATCGTTAAATATCATTTTATCATGATGAAACTTAAATGCATATGTTTAGCTAATATAGATTCTGTTCACTTTTATATATGTTATTATCATGCAATCAGTTTGTTTAAAATTTGTTATGCAATATAAATCTTTCTGAGAATGATAGAAAAGTTTCTAAAGTAATGTATGTAACATTCATATTAAGGTAATTAAATTGCGAAACTGCAAAATTAAATTTTAAAAATGTACAGTTATTGAAGAAGCAGTAGTAATTGAATTCATATGTAGACATACTTGTTTTCATTGTATTCAATGCAATGCAATTTTAAAAACAATTTTTTTAATTATCTTTTAAATTACAATCTTTAATTTGAGTACGTGGCACCACCAAAAGCTATGTAAGTTAAGTTAAGAAAATTGCTTACAGAAAAGTTTTGAACATGATGTTAGGATTTATATTTTCTTTTCATGTGGATATTAATAGAAAAAATATTTTTAGAACAGAGGTAACGCTTATAGTTAAATAGGTATGATGCAAATATTTGCAAGAAATTTCAGTTTCTAGAAGTTTTTTAAGTATTTCGTATATTTTAAAAATATTTTCAAAAAGATTGTGTATAACTTTATTTGAAAAACTTTTTTCCTGTCTTATTTGGAATTTTAATATTGATAGTCTTCAGAGCTATGTAATAAACATTATCTCAATTTAACTACAGATTCTGTCGAATAATTATGTAGCATTAAGAGGAAAACATTAACTGTAATACAGATTAACATACAATATGTAAGTAAGAAATAATTTTAAGACTAGACTATTTAGTAATTTATTACATTCAGAAAACTTTTCTGACTGATATAAGGCATTTAAATGTTAGTCTAAATATTAAAAGTAGTCTCTTGCATTCGTTTTATGTTTTATAATCCTGCTACATTAATATGATAGACATAAAAAATATGCAATAA